CGTGAAATAGCCGGTCTATAATGGAATCCAAAATGGCCGCCCCAAAATTACGCCACAGAATGGAATCCAGCAGGCCAATACCAATATTGGGGACTATATATACCAGCCAGAACATGGACATAGAGAGGATATAAACTGTCCAATTGTAGTCCAACCCAAATTCTCATGAAATCCAAAAATGTGATTGAAGACAAAGAAACAGAACATAGAACTATAGAAATAAAATAGGAAACTTTAATTAGAACGGTGTCGACATTCTGTAGATGTTGCCTCAAATGTGAGGCGTTTTTGACCTTACTGATGCTGGAGCCCTGACTAAGTTCAACTCTACAGATCCAACAGCTGTTACATCCTTCATGAAGTGGCTCCAAACCTGACTGTTTCCCTCTGACTGGTAAAATAATATCTATATATTTAGCGTGTTTTGGTAATTAAATTAAAATTCTACAGATTAGCATTTCAAGATTAAACCAAGTAGCTGCACACAGTGATAACAAACAGGCTAATGGGAGTTTTTTTTTTTTTTTTTTAATCTGATATATTATTAATTGAATCATTTCGCAAAATTCACATTTGTCATATTTATAAGCTACTGGAAAGTTCCCTCCTCCACCGAACACAGGTGAAAATGGGGACGAGCACGTAGGACGGCCTTATGCAAACATTTCAAAACGATTGGCAATTAGGAGAACCAATTATTTTGATGATCCACATGGAAAAATAAAATCCTCCACTATAACTTTAAGTAGCAATGCTGCAACTTTTAAATCATCCAACCGGGATGCTAAATGCATCCTGCACTAAATGCATGAGTTGGAGACTTTGTTGCGGTATGATACGTGGGTCACAATATTATATTATCGCGATTAGGCAATATAACTATATATTGCAATATTTTAACCAGCTATCAAAATGAAATGTATAGATAAAAAGAAGCAAGTTCTGTATATGTTCATTAGAAGGTATTGATCATTCAGTTTTTTTTTTATTATTGATGTTCTTTCAGGTTTGAGTCCAAGTATTTAACCCTTTAAAGCCCGATCCAAGAATAAAACAAAACAGAAAAAAACTTTTTTTTTTTGGTTTGAAGTCCTTATTTGGCCTTTTAACAAAATATGTAAAAAGAAAAAACAGAAATACATTTTTGATATTAATAATTTATTACTATGCGATAAGTCAAGATTATTTTTTGTGTAGTCTTCTGCCCTCTGTTATCAGGTATATCTGATTGTGTACAATAGGATTTTGAGCAAAGTTTTTACCATTAAATAATGCAAAAGGTGTCAGACGCAAAACATTTCAGAAACCGTATGTATCAAATATGATACATTTGGCATTACAGGGTTAACTGTGACTTTCTCAACTACAGATATGGTGCTGCGCCGCACAGCAAAGGGGCTCCTTGGCCCCATCTGCCAGAGTGGCGGTGCAGAGGTAGCCCATTTTCCCCACATTGTTTTTAGGTAAAATGTTTTTGTTTGTTTTTTAAAATCAGTACTAAGAACTGAAAGATCTATTGCAGATATATTGCAAAATAAAAGTTTCCCCAATTCCCTACAATACAGCCTCTATATCAGCATAAAGTGTAGTGAGACACAATATAATGTTGTTATTTCCTTTTAAAATTATGTGTATTTGACATGGAGCTAAAACTTACATAGAGCTAAAATGCTAATATAAAAACTAGCACATATGGAACTTGTATGCACCCTAATGATTGTTGTCATTGAGCACTAAAGTGTAGTTTTATAACTGTTTAGTTTCCCTTTCCATGTTACTCATCGGGTTCTAGCAGCCGTTTTACTTCCCTTTTATAGCATTGCACCACTTCACAGTAATAGAATATCAATAAAATATGTCCAAAAATGTGAAATATAAAATAAAGCTCACTCTGTGTCTATATGGTTGCAAGGCTCTATATCTTTCCATGACTTATTGTAGCGTCTGAGCAGAAAAGAATAAATAAATCTGGAAGCCAAGAGCGGTTGTGTCCCTGAGATACTTTGTCACAGCGGTTTTCTCAAGAAAACTACTTAACTTTCTCATTATATAAAGATAAAAAAAGGCATTTTCTCATGATAATGAAGTGATTGGTGTGTGTTAAGACTAATTACATCCTTCAATACCACAACAGCAGGAAAGGATAAGTCATGGCAGCCTATGTGTAACTTTTAGGTAACGAGACGACGTTGTTGGTTTGATGATTTGCTTCCACTTCTGATTCAGAAGCAATCAGACCTATGTTCTCTCACCTGGTGTTTTCTGCACAGCCCCGGTGTTACGCCTGTAAGTTATAAGATGCATTAACCCCCAAAATGAGTCCATATTTTCATTGAAATACATATGTTTCTACTGTATTCCATGCAATCCAATCATCCACCACGACCTGACAATGACTAAAAAGTAAACTAAAAAAACTAATTATTTGCGCACATGCGGTACCGCGGCTGCAAAACTACAGGCACCGCAGGCATGGATGGACTGGGAATCCAGGGCTGTTGGCCAGCCTCATTCATTACTCATACAGGTTAATCATCTCGTTATCTCAAGAACTCAATAACTGTTTTTTCATGATAATGAGACATTTGTTTTGTTATCCAGAGAAAACAATCAAAGGTTTAACCATGATAAAGAGAGTTATGTCATTATCTCGAGAAGGCAAAGGAAGAAAAAAAAAAGTCGATTACGACCATTCTCGGCTTCTGTAAATAAAAAAATGAAGGCTTTGCATGAAGAAAAGGTAAAACCTATTAAAAGTGCATTTAATTTTACTGTTACTATTGGCATCTAATTTTGTTGGAGATAATTTTCACAAGAAGGAGATACAGGCTTGGACTCCTTTGGTAGTAATTATAAAAGTCCAAAGAAGGATCAGAGAGAGAGAGAATGAGGATGGGGACAAAATGTGGAGTGGAAGGACACAGAGAGCGTTTCCGTGAGTGATAAAGCTGAGAATTGAAACAGAGTAAATTTGGTATTCATCATCTTTGGATGTTTCCTTATCTCATTCCTGGTCACCATTCGAATCCCAGTGATTATAAAGGCAGGAAGGTCGATGGAGAGGGGGATGATGTATAACACCAAGACGGCTGCAGTGCTATTAACTGAAATGGCCGTTAGAAAGTTCTCCATCCTGAGTGCTGGACAGGGTCAAAAGCTATTACCCTCTGTATGGAATAACCTTTGAAATCAATCAGAAACCAAAAGAACGGACAAAAGTGAAGGCGTTCTATTATTCATCAAACTTCCACTTTATTAAACGTTGGAGTGTAAAATGGCCATTTTGATCATGGTCCAAC